AAATGTGGTGGATGGGAGGGTAGAGAGAGACACAGATGTGGATGATGGAGGGCAGAGAGAGACACATATGTGGCTGATGGAGGGCAGAGAGAGACACAGATGTGGATGATGGAGGACAGAGAGACACAGATGTGGCTGATGGAGGGCAGAGAGACACAGATGTGGCTGATGGAGGGCAGAGAGAGACACAGATGTGGCTGATGGAGGGCAGAGAGACACAGATGTGGCTGATTGGGGGGGAAAAAGAAAGGTGAAAATGAGGAGCTGGATTCAGGTTTTCGGTAGGTTCATTACATTATGACTGGACTTGATGACCTCAGGGGGTCAGAGAATCCACATATAGACAGCTAAAGAAGAGCATCAAAGCAAATGTTCAAAAATCCAAAACATTTTTAATGGTGCAATTAGTTTACAGCAAAAAAACATACAAGGCAGCCAAAGCGTTTTGGGGGGGCAGATAAACTCCCGCTCTTTCAGGGCTCCATTTTAAAATGATGGTGTAGTAACCAGGGATACATTTAAGCGGCGTGCAGATCATAGATCACCCAAATCCTACGTGGCATGAGGACGCACCACAAAGTGCCTACGTACGCTGGGTTGCCATTAAACACATGCAGCAATAATCTACAGTGGTGTAATTGGGTCCTAATACATACAAACTGTTTTCAGTTGGATCAAACCTGAGCCATAGACTTACACTGACGGCGATGAGAGGTTGCTGTGCAAAAATGGCTGCCTCCATGTGGATACATCGTTACAAACTACAAGTAGTATATAAAGAAGGCTTTTATTGATACTGTCATCTTCATCTATAAACCCTACAGACATGTCACTACACATAGGATACAAAGATTGAACTTGGTGTAGAAGTCTTCATGTTGATCTGCAGAACGTCTCTTGTTCTAAGAAGTTGTTTTCATGCCATTTGATGGGGAATCCACCTTTCTCAGCTCAGCGCGGTGCGAAAGACAAACACGCCGGTGACTCGTTCTTTGCGGCTTCAAGGGCGAGACCGTTCCAGGCTGAGCTCGTAGGTGGATGGGTCTAAAGGCTGGGAGAGAGGCGGGGGAGTTTAAATCCCCTTTCCGCATGGACTTAGATAACTCTCACATTCATTTTATTTTTTTGACATTCAGAAAGCAAAACACTCTGAACTGAGCAAACCTGAATCTCCGGGGACTGACATGGCAGCTGCAGCTGTGATTCACAAGGCCCTCCATGTTTTTACCGAGAACAAGTGACCTATATGTAGTCTGGGGAAAGCCCTTGTACTCGAAAATAAGTCTTCTGCATAACATCACACCATCTGTTATGTTACCATAACATATATAGAGCGCCAGCAAGGTTTATATCCAATACAATATAGTGGTGTCACTTCTTCTGGGAAGGCGTCCACAAGGTTTAGGAATGTGTTTATGGGAATGTTGGACCATTTGTGAGGTCAGGTACTGATGTTGGGGGAGAAGGACGGGCTGGCAGTTTCCCCTCTAATTCATCCCAAAGGTGTTCTATGGGGGTGAGGTCAGGACTTTGCGCAGGCCAGTCAAGTTCTTCCACCCCAAACTGCCCCGTCCATGTCTTTATGGACCTTGCTTTGTGCAGTGGTGCGCAGTCATGTTGGAACAGGAAGGGGCCGTCCCCAAACTCCTCCCACAAAGTTGGGAGCATGAAATTGTCCAAAATGTCTTGGTGTGCTGATGCCTTAAGAGTTCCCTTCACTGGAACTAAGGGACCAAGCCGAACCCCTGAAAAACAAGTCCAGTGGCGGCCTCGTTTACACGGCATCCCACGCTTTGCATTGCACTTGGTGATGTAAGGCTTGGATGCAGCGGCTACCTTGGAAAAAAATTACCCCCCCATCCCCACAAATAAATATATCCTGTTAAAATGTCATTTAATGTTGGTTCTCAATGTCCATTAATAAAAAGCTTTGCCCAACCATGTGTGGTTCTGATTCTTCCCTGAGAATTGGATTATGGGGAGCGATTTTAAGGGGATGCTCCGCTTATTCTGCATACAGACTATTTGTCTTTATTGTGATGGAAAGTGATGGAGCGGGATACATTCAGCAGATTCTCAGACCTCGCCCTGGACGCGTAGTAAGACGCACTGTCCTGGAAATAGAAGCATAGACATTGGTTAGCGGTATTTGATTCAAGTTGCGGTTTGCAAATCAAAAAAAACTAAAGTATGACGGTCAACAAATCCCAAATAAGCCTTTCATAAAACCTTTACCTTCCTTGACTGAGCCAAATCCACCTTCATTTGTGTCTCACGTGCGCCCCCTACCAGACACTGCAGCACACACTGGGAAGGTTTCAGCAACAGAGGCTGATTGATGAATGACAAGTTATAGGCTTGTGAAGCCACAGTGACAATGCTGATAACCATGCCCCCTGCAACTCCTCATCTCATCTCAGGGCAAGCAGGCACAGCCGACATGAGAGTGACAACTCTGCTCTGAATTTAGGAGCAGTGCAGCATTGTTGTCACACCATTACAGGAAGCTGCATTAGGTGGACTTCACTGGCGGGATCAACAGGTTTTGGTGG